CCAATCTTCTTTCTTTCGGCTTGTTCATGCTTCATCATAAGGATCTCTTCAACGAGACATCAATTTTTCTATAATAAAACTATCTTTCCCCAGATCTTGGCTTGTTGCATCGGTAGACATTTACAAACAAGAGCCATAGTACAGCGACAATGTAGAGCAGCTGCATATTTTGACTTAAAGAAATGCATCATTTCAATGCCTAACTTTGAAAATGAAGGATGAGGGATGGTATGCTTAGCATATAAATAGGTCACATCCCAAAGTCATTTATGCACCACTAAGTCAAGAACAAACATTAATCCCACGAAGGAGTGGGTTAAAATAGAGAGTGCGTAAGGAGTTTACTTTTATTGGTAAAAACAATTACTAATTATTCTCCTACAAATATCTATATTTGTAATTTCTATATTTTTTAGTAGAATTTTTACATGGATATTACTTAATTGAATACACCATGTAAATTCTTGTATATTTTATTTTTTATTTACATTATTCTCTTTAGTTGTGTATTGTTACTTTTACATGTTGCAATCTAATAGTAATATCAAAGGCATGTAGCTGAATATTTTATTCACGTGTTATATTATTTATGTATATGGTACTGTTCATATAAAAAATCAGTACGGTGAATAGATATAATATAAATTTTACTTAAAAAGATTGAGTTTTAAATAAGAATGTTTGTGACTCCTATAATATTTTATAGAAACTTACTTTGTGAAAATATCATTCACTCAATATATTTTTCATATATGCTATAATTTGTAAGTGAACCAATGATAGTTCAACAAATAACGGTGAATAAAAATACAATAAAATACGAGATTAAGAGGTTTAATGAAAAACATTTCTTACTATAAAAAATAAGATTGAAGGTAGTTTAATGAAAGAAATTTGCTTGGTAGCAAATGAAGATAAACCTACAAAAATAACTAATAATGCTAAATAGAATGAGATGGATAACATTATTATTGCTAATATACATTTAACATGAGTTGATGAAGGTAAAAAAAAAAGACTATAAAAAAGATATGAGATACTTTGATAAAACTATATGGGTTAAAGTCTCAACACAATAAGATCTTAAAAAGAGACTCTATACCCTTTAAAAGATAGAAACCAAGTTACTGACTGATCAGATCAACATAATAAAAACTATGTTGGGTATGGAAATAGAAAAAAATAAATGTGCAAAGCTTATACTTTAAATTTTACCTGAATTGTATGACCAACTTATTATCAATTTGACAAATAATATCCTTATAATATCTAGTAATTGATGATGTTGCAACCACTAACTTGAAAAAAAAAAAGTATAAGAATAAAAAAGATACAATTAATAGCTCACACTAAGTAGACAAGTTATTGGTGTAAAAAAGAAGCTTTAGTGGGAGTCAACGACAAGGATAATATAAATCAATAAGTAAAAAGACTATGAAATGTTACAATGATGACATAAAATGACATTTTAAAAGGGACTACTAGTACTAAAAAAGGTGTAGATAACACCTTTGGGTCATCAAAACCTTAATAATGTGTTGCAAACACTTTGAATATTGGAGCAATTATATATAGCAAAGCAACATGGTCTTTAAAATAGAAAAGAGCTTAATGAAGTTTGGTTAATAAATTTATAAGTAACATGGCATATGACTTCATATTAGGATTGGTTTTATACAAATAAACTTATCCTTAAAGGTCTAGTGTTCATTGGTGATAATTAGACTTTAGAGATTGTTGGCATTGTTACCATCAAATTGAAGATGTATGATGACTCAATTTGTAATATTCAATAAATACAATATATCAAATGGTTGCAGAAAAATCTTTTATCTTTGGGATAATTAGATGGTTTTGATTGTAAGACTTATATAAATAATAATATTATAAAAATCATTAGAAGGGGTGTTGGTGGTATTAAAAACAAGAAAGATAGTTGAAAACTTGTTTATATTAATGGAAGAAACACATAATAAGGTAGAAACATTGATCACAATAACCATAAAAGACATACAATAATGTGGCATAAGAAACTAGGTCACATATTACAGAAAGCTCTTAAAATCCTCTTTAATTAAAAGTTATTAATTATATGCACTTACAAAGGTTTCTTTACCCTTTTATAAGTATTATATTACAAGTGGACATTATAAGTTCAAGTTCAACATATCAACGGCTAAGTGGAAATGCATTTTATATCTAATTCACTATGATATTTGGTGAGCACTGATTATATTTATAAGAGGAAAATGATAGTTTGTATTATTCATATATGACTTATTAAAAAGATGCTGAGTGTATCTAATAAAAGTGCATGTAATCTTTAAAACCTTCAAAGTATAGGTAGAACTTGAATTAAAAAAATAATTAAGTGTTTAAGAACAAATAATAAAAGAGATTATATCAATGATGAATTTAAGAATGTTTTTAAACAAAAAAAAAGTATTAAAAGATAACTTACAATAACATACACTCCATAACAAAAGAAAGTAGCATAGTATATGAATATAAACTTTGTTAGAAATAACAATAACAATACTAAAGGTTGTAGGCCTAGGAAAGCCATTATAGGTTGAAGTGGTCAAAACTATTTATTATGTGATCAATTATTCTTATTAACTGCAATTGATTATAAGTCACCGATAGAGACATAGATTGAAAAACTAGTTGATTACTCTAACTTATATATATTTAGAAGTCATGTGTTTGTGACGTATAATAATCAAGAGGTTGGTAAACTGGATTCCAACTCTAGAAAATATATATTATTGAGATATGTTGAGGGTGTTGATAAGTATCACTTGTGGGATTCCACTACTTATAAGTTAGTCATTAATAGAGATATCATATTTGTAGAAGATAGAATGCAAATGAAAGAAAATGATAACACCTTAAAAAAGACTATAACAATTAAGGTGAAAAATATTTATAATTATAATGTTTAAAATTCTTCTAATGTTGTACCAAAGCACCAAAAATAGAAAAAAATTGAGTCTAAAGCTTTTAAAGTTCAATAATTAATCCATGAGAGAAAACCATTAGCTTGGCATTCAACATATATTATTAATAGAAATGTTGTATGCTATATTCTAACAAAGGATCAAGATCTATCAACTTTCCATAAGGCTATAAAAAGTACAGATGTATTCATATGGATAGTATCAATGCAAGAAAAGATTGAAACTCTATATAAGAAAAAAAATTTCAAAATCTTGTTTTATTACCACAAAAGGAAAGATAATTAGTAATAAATGAGTTTACAAAACACAATGACAATTATCAAGTGGAGTGCTTTCATACAATATAAGTGGCAAAAAAAATATAATTAGAAAGAAATAATAGACTTCAATGAAATATTTCTCTTAGTAGTATGAATATAACAATTAGATTTATCTTAGTGATGCGTGTTATATATGATTTTTGTTTAAAGTAGTTAAATGTGAAAACTATATTTCTTAATGAAGAGTTTAAAGGAGAAATTTTCATGCTCTAACTAAAAATAGACAAGAAGAACTTGGTTTTAGGTTGAAAAAATATCTATTTAGTTTTAAACATGTGCCTAGTTATTAACATAAAAGATTTGATTTCTTCATAATTAGCCTTAGATACAATAGACACAATTAATAACATTATATATATAATAAAAAGTTTTAAAAAGATGATGATTATATTGTTTTGTTGTTGTACATAGGTAACATATTGATAGTAGACCCTAACATAGACCAACTCTAAGAATTAAGAGCAAAACTAACTATTAAGTTTGAAATAAAAGATTTGGGACTGTCAAACAAGATTATAAAAATACAAATTTACTGAGATAATAATAAAGGAAAGATATGACTTTTTTAGAAGAGTTATATGAAAAAAAATCTTGCAATACTTTAATATGTAATATTATAAACCAATTTGTATCCCATTTCCTGTTAATTTTAAATTATTCTCAAGTATGTCTCATAGTAATAAAGTAAAGAGAATGAAAATATCTTGAGTACCATATATATTAATGGTGAAAATTTTAATCTTTTTCATGATATGTACATGACTAGACATTACACAAGTAATGAGAGTAATAAGTTGACACATGAAGAATCCTAATTAAGTATTGAAATTATATTAATAAGACCTTAAAATACATCAACAATTACCTTAATGATATGGTATATATAAAAGATCATAATTTATTGTTAGAGGTTATATTGATTCATATTTTATAGGTAATCTTGAGAAAAGAAAATCTATTATAGACTATGTGTTTATAATTACAAGGAATTGTAAGCTAAATCTCTAAACTTCATATTATTATAGCTTTCTCTACAATAGAAACTGAGTACTTAGTAACTATACAAACTTGTAAAGAAGAAATATAGATAATAAGACTTATAGAAAAGCTCATATACAAATAAGAGAAGATTCTCTTATATTATGACATTCAGAATGCTCTACATATTATAAAGAATCATGTGTTTCATTTAATAATAAAATACATAGATATTCAATATCATTTTATTTAAGCAATGGTGAAAGATGAAGATATTGATTTAATAAAAACTCATACCTAGAAGAACCTAGTAGATGTTATGATCAAATTGGTCAATACTAATAAGTATATATGTTATAAATTCCTTTATAGTCTAACAAAAAGTTAAGCAAAATGAAAATGAAAAATATAGAAAGAATAATCACAAATAATTAAGTGTAAAAACATAATTAAAAATCAAAGTATTAAAATAAAAGAATATGGAGCATATGCATATTTTGACGTAAATAAATACACATCAATTTAAGGCCATAAATGCTAGGAACCAATTGGTGCCTAACTTTGAAAATGAAGAATGGAGAATAGAATGCATAGCCAACAAATATATTACATCTCAAAGCTTTTGATGCAAACCAAGAAAAGAGATAAATTCCATAAGAGGGCAAGTGATAGATTTTGTAATGTAATATGTGAGTAGCGTGTTTTTTTTATGAGACAAGTTTTTCTTGTTTTACACAGGAAGTTCTCTTCAATATTATTTCTACAATAGCTGAAAAAGGCAAAAACGATTTCAACTTCTCTACATAACTAATTATATCACGTTATGACTGTCCCTGAACGCGGACAGAAATCACATAAAAAAGATGCTGGGACATGAGTTGCATTAAAATACAAGGTAGTTGTTTACTTTTTTAGCATTTGACACTTTTTTCAGATGGAGTAAAAATCATTAATCAGGATTCAGGCAGCTCAGAATGCTCCCTCCTTGCTGTTTCTATCATTGCGCACAAGAATTCACTAGCATCACAACTGTTTGGATTTGAAAGACCTGCGTGTGCCAAGAAAGGAAGTTTTCTCAATGATCTTCCACTCATTCCCTGCATATGAATAATAAGAAGCCACACGGTTAATTACTTGATCATCAACAGGATTCAGCAGGGATTTAAAAAATTGACTGCTCACCTCACATGCTTCCGCAGCTTCAAGCAATTGCTTACAAAAGGGCAGCACAGGCTGAGCTTCCTGAACATCTGGTGCATTTAATTTCTCTCTCAAGGTTGAATAATATGGAAGCACGAGATAGTCAGAGTCCTGCAGAAATTGCAACATTCATTAGTAATGAGATTAATGTGCCACTACATGTCCATGTAACGATGTTAGAGATATTGAGGAATCAATAGAGAGGCTGAAAACTGAAACAGAATTGACACCTGGAAATTTGATATTATTCCTGTTCGCAGGAGTTCTTGAAAACAGGATCTTAGAATTTCATAACGAGCTTGAAGAGTTGGGGGACCAACATATGCTTTGATGTCAGCTCGATTAACAAATGCAATATCTGCAACTCAATAACTGCCAAGTCAATACATTCTACCAATATATGCAATGTTCTTCCTGATCGGTCCAAAATCTAAACCTATCAGAAGAGATGGGTGAGTTTTTTAAATTCCATTGATTATATTGGAGGGAATCCAAACTCTCTGGAAGAGGTAGAATATGGAATTCAAGTTAGCATGGAAGTCTTAGAAAACTGGTTGTTATTGAGATAGGTCATTGGCTCACCAATAGCAGCAGTTATATTTGATGTAGTCAGGATGATCACATTTGGTGATGTTTTCAATTTGTCCATCTGTGTTAGCAGAGCATTCACAACCTGTAGAGCATATTTTGACAAGCAGAAGGCATTAAAGATTGGACTTCCACGTCTCATAAAAAAACACGCTACTCACATATATTATTATGTGACTTGCTTTAAGAAATCAGGCATTAATTTGGGAGTAGACGGGTACAGTACTCGAATAGAATCTGAAGGTTCGGAACCAGATAAAGCAGCTTTTCTAACAGCAGCGAGGCTTTCAACTTCATCTGCAGCATAACCAAATATAAAATATGACATGCTACAACGAAGAGAGCTCAGCACTGGATCTTGAAAAACATAATGTCATCACAAATCTCACCAATCAAAACAAATACCAGATTGTTTTCTTCCTCTATCATTTCCTGTATTTTCTGGAAAAGTTTTGCAACCTGTTCCAATAAACAAATATAGATGTTTTAAGATTTTCCTGAATTCAACAGTCAAAGAAGGTAGATTACTAAATTAAGATCAGGGGGTTGAGAACTTGACACGAGCTGAGGTGCCATTGGAAAGGTAAATGATATGAAGTCTACGAATTCTATACCATTTGATTTCACACAAGATAACAAGAAAAATGCATCAAGTTGATTCCTAGTAAAACTACAGTAAAAAGCAATTCCCATTGCAATGGAAAGCAAAATAATCACAACTAATTATGATCTGTTTTTCGTTTCCTCTCAAAGCAGCAAAACAAACAAAATTTTGCCATTATAGCTTTTTTGTGTGCGATAGTGGGGGAGAGGGGGCGGGAGATCCAATAAAGATAACAATTTTTATATCCTTATGGGAGCATAGATGTACCAAAAAACATAGACTACTTTGGCTTTAAACATGGACAAATGATCAAATCTCAGCCATAACAAGTTGTGTCTTACTGGAAACAGAGTTATAAAACTAAGATTTCCAATGAATAGAATAAGCTAGTTCCAGAGGTAGGGGTTTGTCAAAGCTTATGCAGCTTGATGACTTACCAGCTTGCCACTTTCAGAGAACCATTTGCTAAACAACGAATGTGCATTAACTTCAATCAATTGGCATTGGGGGTATCTGATTAAAGAGGAAGCACAAAGCAGAAATTAATATGAAATGAAATGTAATTATTTTTGTTCATCAGACAAGGTTATGTATAAACCTGGAGTTAAATCGTATTGATAGCTTCTGAGCCTGCTTTACATAAAGAAGTCTTTCCAGTCCCTGGAGTTCCATGTAAAAGAATAAGGCTGCAAACATAATTGATATATCATTTAAGCATCATTTTAATCTTATACATTAGAAGAAGCAACGGCTTTATTTCAACATTAGCAGTTTTCCAAATATGGTTCAGATAAGTGTAAATGCATTTGTGGTTTCCATGTATTGAGTCTCCATCCCATCCCAGATTCTTGCACTAGCAATTAAGCCAGTGCACTGAAAGAAGAATGCTACAGGTAAAAAGGTTAAGACTCTTTCTACAGCCTCAAACTAGAGATTTCATTGGCAAGAAAACTAGTCTGAATGACCTGTGGATACATATCATTTTAAACAAAGCTTCCTTACCGATTCCATGAAACAAGAAAAGGATCAACACCCTTTTCTGTAAAGAACAATGCACTGGCTGCATACTGCAATAACCTTTGCTTGAGACCAAATTCATAAATTAAGCTACAAATAGCAAATTACGACGCCATCAGTCCCTACATAACTGACTTAATAAAAAAAGAAAAATCAACTGACTTGAAAAACTAGAAACAACAGAAGTTTCAGGCAAACCTTTCCCACATGCCATCAAATTCCTTAGCTGGAAGAATCCAATCATTAAAGCTAGAAAGTTGGCCATCCCCACCTAGCTCCTCACTCGGTCCTTCCTCACTGAGCTGAAAAGGCAGCAGTCATGAATTTTGAAACCACCAACTCAACAAAATATCTCTTGAAATTCAAAGAAAATAGAGGATCATTACACAGGGAAAAAGAAATATGTAAATATCGAATCAAGTTCTCATTTTTACGACCTAGAACAGCTTTTACTGTTTGATGTTCACCTATTTTTATACCCTAAACAAAAGTTGAAGTGTATCAAAAAGCCATTAAAGAAACAAACATTCCAATACTTGGAATATGTTGATAGAATCAGAGATAATGAGCAAAGCAAAAAGGAAAAAAAGAGAGCGAAAGAAGAAAAGCCAACAAGCCTAAGTGATTCATAGTACCTGAAAAACATGTACATCAGGTTTGACTTGCCAGAACAGAAGAATATCATGGTTGGTCACCCATTCATCTACAACACAAACATTAATAGCATTAATTGACAAAACATATTACTTTCTCCCATTTTCGAACATTATTCTGCTGATTGTTGTAGTACTCTCAGAACCCAAAACAGCATTAACTTCCCAAACGTTTCATTTTCTTTTCCCCTAGACCAGAAACAGGAAATTGAACACGTAAAGAAACAAAAACCCATACCCTTATCACAAACGCAGATTCTTTGTACATTTTCAAAGAGAAATTGGTCATCAATTGGCACGGGAATTGGTCCATCAACATAGCTTAAACTCCTCTTTTCAAGCATTCTATCAAATAAAGAGAAAACCAAAAAAATTTCCTCCTTTCTTATAAGAATTAACAAAACAAAAGACCTCCGAAAAAACACAAAAGAAACTGAAATCAAACCTAGCTTTCAACGGCTAACCGCACATCTTCAACGCGAGCTGTGCTCGAGGGTTTTAAGCAAACTTCAACTGTATCAAAAAAGAAAAGTAAGAGCTTCAAAATCAAAAGAAAAAAAAACATACATAAAATTGGAAACGGAAGAAAAAGATGGGATACCAGAAACGAGGAATTTGCAATGGGTAAGAATGGGGGAAGGAGAAGAGGAAGGCAGAGCCACGCCACTACCATCAGACAGATCATGGCTTATGCCTGTGGTTTCAATTGGGTTTTGGATCATTATGCCCATGGGACTGGGACTACTTGTCATTCTTTACTGACCTGTGCAGAGACGGAGAGGTGGTTTTAAAATTTGTAGAGATGGTGGTGAGCCCATTGCCATACCTTAATTTTATTTTTTAAAGTCGGGCGGGAAAATTTAGCTTTGCTAAGATAATGGTACGCGGATACAAGATAATTTTTATTTCAAAATATATTAAAATAATATATATTTTATAGCTTAAAATTTATTTTTGACATTAATTTATAAAAACAATTCAAAACACCTTATTAAATTAATTTAAAACAAAAAAATAAAAAAATTTAAAAATATAATTAAACTGTAATATCAAACAACATCTAAATATATATTTAGTATTATAGTAGCTTTTTTTATTTAAAAATGTAAGTTTGGAAAAAATATTTTTAATTATAGTTTTAATTGAGTAAATTTAAAATAATATATGTTTGATTAAAACTAATATAAAATATATTTTTAAATAAAATAAAATAAGTCTTTATAAATAAAAATTAAGTTATTTTAAATTTTACAAAATCAAGATTTGAAATAAAATTATGTATTGAAATCAATGTCAAAGGCATAAATTATTTAGTAATCAAGCAATTTTTTCTCTATGTTAGAAAAAACTTCTAACATAAGTGTTGTATGGTTTTTTCTATTTTCACTCCCATTTTTGGGTTTATGAAAAAAATTATTTATTTAGGGTAGTGTTGGGAAGAGTTTTATTTAGCTATAGATTTGCACATTGATATTTGCATTTATATGGTGTATGAAATTATTGTATTATTTTATTTGCGTCCAAAATGTATTTTGGTGACCTTTTGATACGTAGTAATCATATAATTTTATTGGAAATTTTGATGATATTACATTATCATTTTAATATATAAAATTTGTTTTCTTTTATTTTTTTTTTTAAAGTAAGACCAATACTGGATAAGTGACTGACAACTCAGCAAGTGGCTGACAATCTATTTGTTTTTGTGAAAAATATTTTTAAAAAAATTTAAAATTTAATTTTTTTTAATTTTTTAATTTATATTTTTTAAATATTTTAATATATTGTATTAAAAATAAATTTTAAAAATACAAAATATTATTTTAATATATTTATAAATAAAAAAACATTTTAAAAAATAATACCCACTATAATTCCAAATGAAATCAAAGAGAAGGAAGGTTTTGAATTTTAAATCTCAAAGAAAATATGCAAAAAATAGATATTTTTATTTCATGAGCCTTCGGATTGTGATTTTCTTCAAACTCAAAAAAATATTAAAAAAATAGAATTTTTTTATGGAAATAATAATGAAAAATAATCTAGAAATAAATTTACTGTTAATGTAGGAAACATGAGCCAAAAATACCATGGGCATTGAAAAATATAAATAAATAAATAAATAAAATAAAAAATTTAGTTTTATTTTGCAAATATTAGTTTTGTTATTTTTATATTAAGAGCACATCACAAGTCATAACTACATTTTCATTTGTGTTTCTTTTTTGTTTTTTATGCAATAGATTTTACTAGATGTTTCAACATCTGATCAGAAGCATTGACTTTGGATTTTACTGAAAAGGCACTATGCATTATAAACTAGAAATAATTAAAAAAAAACTCAAAAGATTTGATTGGATTTTCATTTCTCTTTATAATTTGTGAAATTACACTTTATATCTTGAATTTTATTTAAGCCAAGTCTTAATATTTTTTAAAAATAAATAATTATTTATACATTTATCATTGTATTTATTTTAATAACTGAAAAACCTTTATAACGTTAAAATCATAAAATTATCATTGATAATTGATTAGTAATTAAAAGTGCATTTTTATAAAAATTTATGCAATCATATTGTACCTAAAGTATCATTAAATTCTCTAACAAAAGCATATTTTATATTAGCAAGTCTAAAAATATAATATACCTTTAATTCATGGTAAATGTTTATCCTAAATGCAGGTCTATCACATAAATAAAAATATTGATTGATGAGTTTAAGGATTGAAATTAAAAGGATAAAAAGAAGGCCAAACTTAGCAAAGTGTTGCTGGTGCATTCCAAACTCGAACACCGTTCGGTAATTTGATCATATCTGGAGCTGTAGATATCAGATTTAGGTCCATTTTATATGGATGGAAAGATAAGATATAAACCTACAACTTTCATATGAACTCAAAGACTCAGTTCTGCCGTTTTCAAGCTCAAATCTTAGCAACAATGAAGACGTCGGAAGCTGTCCTGCAGCTCAAACACTATTCGGTTTTTGGCTCATATCTTGAATTCTAGAAGTCCAAATGAGCTCTGGTTTTTTTTTGTTAGAAAGCTTAGAAAATTGTCCACAACTTCCATAATTCATTTGGTTATAATTCTGATGTGAGCAATGACGTTTTGGCCAGCCAACAATATCAATAATCAGCTGACAATATCAAAAAAACAGCAGTCATTAATGTCAAAAACCAGCCACCAAATCAATGGATGCCCACCAATTCTTCAATCAATCAATAATTCTAAAACTTAGCCTATAAAAGGAGGCATTGTCCATGTATTTAGTCATATTAATTTTCAGATCAAAGTTATCTTGTTGCTTTTTCTCTACATCTTTGTAATGTTCAAGTTTTCTTTCATACTATAATAATCTCTTATTTATGCTCTTTCATTTCCTTTCCTATACTTAGTTAGCTTATATTATGTTTATATTTTTATATTGTTTATTTATGTTTTTCTCCTTCTTAATGTTTAGCTAAGTTAATTATATCAAGGTGAAAAGGTTTCTCTAATGGTGTTAGAATAGGTATAATATAAACTCAACATGGACTTTAAATGTTTATATCCAAGAAAAATTGTTATTAACATGTTTTATCTTTTTATCTTACTAATTCTTAATACCTTGCTTATTAAATGGTTAATTTAAATTTGCGTTGTATAATATTTGGTACATCAAATGCTTGATCCTTCATAGTCTTCAGCCGACATCGTTATTGTGATAAGAACTTAATTTGTTGTTAACATAAACTAGTAACATAAATGCTTCATGATATTTATGCTTGATGATATTTATAAGTATGGTATTACTTAGATAAAATAATTAATATGATCATGTTAGTAATTTATAATGAGCTAATAATGAGAAATCATCTGATTAGAACCTCCTTTGTGTGTGGTTTCTAGTTGAGTAATAAAAAGAGTTTATATTATATTTATTTGAAATATCATTAGTGAATCCTATAATCTTGACATATGTTTTGTTATTATTTAATCCTTACATCAATATCACACCCCAAAACTTTCTTCAACTCTTTTTCTGTTATTATTCTCTTCAAATCTTTTTCTTTATTTGTAATTTATATAATTCACCTTTCTGTGGTTCAACCCCGGTCTTGCCGGGTTATTTTACTTTGACACTCCTGCACTTGGGATAAGACATCAACTCTTTGATCGTGTCAAGTTTTTTGCGTCGTTGCCGGGAAGGTAAGTTATTGTATAAATTAAATATTTTATTTTATTTTATTTTCACTTTTATTTGTTTTTCTAATTGTTGTTTCTTTTTCTTTTTTCTTTTCTTTTCTTTTTTTTTTGTATTTGCATGAGAGTTTGGACACGTACATTAAGTGGTAGACTTTCTAGAAAATCCTCATTTTCTTCAAAAAACATGGTTAAAGAAGATAACCAATCAATTTATAATGAGAATAATGAGAATAATCATGTTAGAACACTTAAAGATCATATGAATCCAATAAGAACAAGTGCACCATCATGTATTGTTTTTCCTCCTGATGCATCTCATTTTAATTTTAAGCCAAGTATTATTTAACTTTTACCCACTTTTCATGGCCTAGAATTAGAAAATCCATACTTGCACTTAAGAGAATTTGAAGAAATTTGTAACACTTATAATGACTTAGATTGTAGCATGAACACTATTAGATTAAAGCTTTTTCCTTTTTCGTTAAAAGATAACGATAAAACATGGCTACAAAATATTAGGTCAGGATCCATTCATGCTTGGGATAAAATGCAACAACAGTTTTTAAAGAAAATTTTCCCTTCTCATAGAACAAACTCTTTCAAAAGACAAATCACCACTTTTACTCAAAAACCAGGAGAAACATTTTACAAATGTTGGGATAGATATAAAGACTTGCTTAATACCTGTCCTCATCATGGTTTTGAAACATGGAGATTGGTTTCACAATTTTATGAAGGGTTAACACCTAAAGATAGGCAAATGGTGGAATTGATATGCAATGAAACTTTTGAAAATAAAGACCCTGATGAAGCAATGAAGTACTTAGACTTGCTAGCTAAAAATGCTCAAAATTAGGACACTACAGATACTTGTGAGGCACCAAGTAAAACTCAACCTCCTACATCTAATGGAGGCATGTATAGCCTTAGGGAAGATCATAACCTCCAAGCCAAATTTGTATTTTTAGCTAGAAAAGTTGAGGCATTAGAATTAAAAAAGAGTGGTCAATTAAAATCTGTTCAAGAAATTGTGTGTCAAATTTGTGAAACCAATGAACACTCAACCAATGATTGTCCCACTTTGCCTTCTTTTAAAGAATGTCTCCATGAACAAGCCAATGCTTTAAATAGTTTCCAAAGACCAAGTCATAACCCGTACTCACAAACGTACAACCTTGGTTGGAGAAATCACCTAAATTTCAGTTGGAAGAGTGGTAACAATAATGCACAAACTTCACAGCCACCATTTCAAACACAACATAATTTTCAAAATTCTCATGGATATGCACCTCCTTATATTCCCCCTCCTAGAAGAAATCTTGAGGAAACATTACATGCATTCATTGAAAAGCAAGAGACAATCAACACTCAAAATGCTCAAACCATGGCTGATTTGAAAGATACTATTGCAAAGTTCACATCTGCTCTCAGTTTTCAGGAGAAAGGTAAGTTTCCATCTCAACCTCAGCAAAATCCCAAGGGGCAATACAATTCAAGTGCAAGTAATTCCGGAAGCCTACATCTGGATCAAGTCAAATCAGTCACTACTCTCCGCAGTGGTAAGGTTATTAAAAAACCTATTCTTGAACCTTGTGAGAAAGAAGATGAGTTAGTCTCCAAGGGTAAGGAAATGGTTGAACCTGATCATTGCAAGGAAAAGACTGATTCCCTACCAGCACTTCCATTTCCTCATGTCATGATCAAACAAAGGAAAGTCAATCACAATTCTGAAATCTTTGAAACTTTTAAATAGATAAGGATTAATATACCTTTGCTAGATGCTATTAAATAGGTATCATCTTATACTAAATATTTGAAAGATCTATGCACTGTAAAGAGAAAATTGAATGTGAAAAAGAAAGCCTTCTTAACCGAACAAGTAAGTGTCATTCTTCAGAATAATAATGCTTTGAAATATAAAGACCCTGGTTGTCCTACAATTTCTTGCTTTATTGGAGAACATAAAATTGATAGAGCTTTACTTGATCTTGAAGCTAGTGTGACTTTACTTCCATATTTGGTTTTTCAAAGTCTCAATCTAGGTGAGTTAAAACCTACTTCTGTTACTCTTTTACTTGCTGATAGATCTATAAAAATGCCTAGAGAAATAGTTGAAGATGCGTTAGTACAAGTTGATAAATTCATCTTTCCTGTGGATTTTATTGTCATGGATACACAACCTGTTGAAGCATGCAATTCAATTCCTGTTATTTTAGGACATCCATTTCTTGCAACTTCTAATGCATTGATTAATTGTAGAAATGAAGTGATGAAGTCATCTTTGGAAACATGACATTAAAAATGAATGTTTTTAACATTTGCAAGCAACCTGGAGATGATAATGATTTACAGGAAGTAGATTTTATTGAAAAAATAATTTAGGATCAATTTGAAAATTCTTCCAATGAAACTAACTTTAATGAATCTGAAGATTTGCAAATGGTTTGTTTTCAGGAAGAATCAAAGGCAAATATTTCGAGACCAAAAATTGAAGAATTACCACCACGATCAATTGGGTCCATACCTTCAAGTGTTCAACCACCAAAACCCGATTTGAAGTCATTGCCATGTAATCTCAAATACTTATTTTTAGGAGAAAATGAAACTTTTCTGGTAATAATTTCTTCCAAACTTAATGTTCATCAAGAAGGTAAGTTATTACAAACTCTGAAAATGCACAAAAATGCATTAGGATGGACCATAGCTGACATAAAAAGAATTAGTCCTTTGATTTGCACACACAAGATTTATTTGGAGGAAAATGCTAAACCCTCTAGAGAAATGCAACGAAGGCTTAATCCTAATATGAAAGAAGTAGTGAGGAATGAAGTCATTAAACTTCTAGATAATGGAATCATTTATCTTATTTCTGATAGCAAATGGATAAGTCCTAACCAAGTTGTACCTAAAAAATCTGGAGTTACTGTGATAACAAATGAGAAAAATGAGTTAATTCCAACGAGGACTATTACTGGTTGGCGTATGTGCATTGACTATAGGAAACTTAATTCAATGACTAGAAAAGATCATTTTCCTTTACCTTTCATGGATCAAATTCTATAAAGAATTGCAGGTCATGGATTTTATTGTTTTCTAGATGGTTATTCAGGTTATAACCAAATTGAAATTGCATTTGAAGATCAAGAGAAAACTACTTTCACATATCTATTTGGTACATTTGCATACCAAAGGATGCCTTTTGGATTATGTAATGCACCAGCCACGTTTCAAAGATGCATGCTTAGCATATTTAGTGATATGGTTTAACGTTTTCTTGAGATTTTTATGGATGATTTTTCTCTTTTTGGTGATTCATTTGATAATTGTTTAACTAATTTGGAAAAGGTTTTGAATAGGTGTGAAGAGAAGAATCTTGTGTTGAATTGGGAAAAATGTCATTTTATGGTAACAAACGACATTGTACTTGGTCACATTATTTCATCAATAGGAATTGAGGTTGATAAATCTAAAATTGAGTTAATTGCCAACTTGCCAACACCAAAATCTGTTAAAAATGTTAGATTATTTTTAGAACATGCTGGTTTTTATAGAATGTTTATCAAAGATTTTAGTGTAATATCTAAGCCATTGTGTAACCTTCTAACAAAGGATAATGTTTTTGAATGGACTGAATATTGTGAAGAAACCTTGGTTAAACTTAAAAACCTGCTTACATCTGCTCCTATCATTCAACCTCCTGATTGGTCATTACCTTTTGAAATAATGTGTGATGCTAGTGATTATGCCGTGGGTGCTGTTTTAGGATAAAGAAAAGATAAGAAACCCTATGTGATTTACTATGCAAGTAAAACTTTAAATAATGCTCAAATAAATTACACAACCACTGAAAAGGAATTACTTGCTGTAGTATTTGTATGTGAAAAATTCAGATCTTATCTTGTTGGCTCACCTGTTATTGTTTTTAGTGATCATGCAGCATTGAAATATCTTCTTTTTAAGAAGGATTCTAAAGCTAGATTGGTGTGGTGGATTTTGTTACTTCAAGAATTCGATATCACAATCAAGGATAAGAAAGACACCGAAAATGTTGTCGCGGATCATTTGTCAAGATTGACAACTGATTCGAAATCTGACATCACACCAATCGATGACTACTTTCCTGATGAATCTTTTCTTTCTGTCACTACAATGCCTTGGTTTGCTAATATTGTTAATTTTCTTATTTCAGGACATTTGCCAGTGCATTAGGGCGCCCAAGTCAAAAGAAAGTTCTTGAACGAAGTGAAAAACTTTTATTGGGATGGCCCTTATTTATTCAAATATTGTCCTAATCAAATATTTTGAAGATGCATTCCTGACAATGAGGTAAATAATGTCATTAAATTTTGTCATTTTGAGGCATGTGGGGGTCATTTTTCGACAAAAAAGACAGCTGCAAAAATCTGACAATGTGGATTTTATTGGCCCACCATGTTCAAGGACTCATATATATTCTGCAAAACATGTGAAAATTATCAAAAGTTAGGATCTCTTTCAAAACTTCACATGATGCCTTTAAGTACTATTCTTGTCATTAAAATCTTTGACTGTTGGGGTATAGATTTTATGGGTCCATTTCCTCCATTATTTGGTTTTGTGTACATATTAGTCGCAGTAGACTATGTTTCAAAATGGATAAAAGCAATTCCAAGTCGTAACAACGATCATAAAATAGCCATTAAGTTTTTGAAAAAAAAACATTTTGAGTCGATTTAGAATCTCTTGGGCCATGATAAGTGATGGTGGAACACATTTCTGTAACAAGCCATTTGAGTCATTAATGAAGAAATGTGGAATCACATATAAAGTTGCCACCCCTTATCACCCCTAGACAAATGGACAAGTAAAACTTGCTAATAGGGAGATCAAACAAATCTTGGAAAAAACAGTGAACCCTAATCGAAAGGACTAGTCTTTAAGATTTAATAATGCACTTTGGGCCTATCAAACTGCTTTTAAAACATCATTAGGTATGTCACCTTATAGGTTGGTTTATGGAAAACCTTGCCATTTGCCTGTGGAACTTGAATACAAAGCTTATTAGGCTATAAAAGCTTTCAATTCAAACCTGGATGATGCGAGTCAACTGTGTAAGTTACAAATAAATGAGCTTGAAGAAATAAGAAATAATGCATATAAGAATTCAAAAATTCATAAAGCAAGAATCAAAGACTTTCATGATAAAAGAATCTTGAGAAAAACATTTGATGTTGGTCAAAAAGTTTTACTTTATAATTCTCGACTCTATTTATTTCCTGGAAAGCTAAGATCAAGATGGAGCGGTGCATTTGTTGTGAAACATGTATATCCTTATGGGGCCTTTGATATTGAGAATCCAAAGAATGGTAATGTTTTCAAGGTCAATGGACATCGTTTGAAAGCTTACTTTGATAATTTTCCTAGTGAAAATGAATCCATTAGTTTGAATGATCCTGTATATAAAGGTTGATTATTTTGTTTTTCTTATATTTTTTTGTGTTTCTTTTTTGTGTGACTATTGTTTTGCTAGTCTTTCTCCAATGCACAGGACATGTTGGATGCCCCTGTCACCAGCAGATTTGTTGACGTGCATCCACTCATGCGTCACTCATTACCAACTAGTACATTAAACATCATTTTGGGGTCTAGCGTTCTCTACCACTTTGGATGATGTTAGAGATATTGATCTTTCGAGAGCTATGGGTGCCCGAATCCTAGCATGTTTTTTCTTTTTAGTTTCTGTAAGATTCATGTTGGACATTCTATTGTCATTTTGTCCATGGATGTATCTATTAACGTTTGTAGAGGTTTTTACTTTTTTTTGAGCGAGGAGAGAGCAGACCGAGAAACAAACTAAGGAGAAAAGCCTAGACACTGATTCATTAAGCAGGGCACTCAAATGGTTTTCTTTCTTTCCTATTTCATTTTCAGGGTTACTCTGTTTCAGTCCTTATTCCTTAAGGGGATTAAGTTAACTTCACCAGCAATGGCAACAGCCATGCCGAACCTTGCTCCAGGGCTTATTTTCATTATTGCTTGGACATTAAGGTATCATTTCCAAATTTCCTTTTTAGCATTTCAAAACGTGAATTTCCTTTTAACAAAACATAAAAGCCCACAGAAATTTACTTTCACTCCAATCTAGTTGAGTAATGACAGTTACTTTGTCTAGTGATTGTTTTTCTGATTACTAGCTAAAAAAATAGAGAAAATAATAAATATATATACCAAGCATCTGGTGCCCCTTCCTCTCAATGTGTTTCTGCTATTGTCTAGTGATTGTTTATCTGATCACTAGCTATGTGCAGGTTAGAGAAAGTTAAGCTATGTTGCGTATACAGCAAAGTCAAGATTGTAGGCACCATTTTATGCGTTGTAGGTGCCCTCATGATGAGTCTAATGAGCAGCACTGAATCAGCAAAAGAGTCAAAGTCCATGGAAAGTACTCCCACGGGAGATATGAGCTTCGACAAACATAAGATTAACGGTTGCTTATATCTCATAGCAGCGGTTTTTGTTCTATCAAGCAATGTTGTATTGCAGGTAATGTTTTAGATCAACAGTGAAGGAATTAATTATGTACAATCTGCATAATTTTAATCTCGCAAATTGAGTTTTGCAATGTGTTACGTACAGGCTACTACTTTGGGTGATTTTCCTGCTCCTATATCCCTGTGTGCCATAACATCATTGATTGGAGTAATTATAACTGCGATTGTAGAATTGGTTCTAAACCACAGAGTGGACGTTGGCTGGCCCCTGATGAGACTCGGGACCATTAGTTTTGCTAGTTTTTCTTATATTTTTCCTGCTCTGCCTCACAATGCGATTACAAAAATTTACAGTTTAAAAGCACTTTTGCAAAGAAATGATTATCAGGTAAGTCTTCCAACTCTTTTATTTCATACATGTCTAGGACAGGTAAAAGCACTTTTGCAAAGAAACGTTGTGCAAAATGACTAAAAGTCTGTCACTGATGTGCCAGATGGACTTGTAATGCAAAATGTCGTTCTTTAGAAATGATATCTATAAACCGTAAAGATAAAATACAATTCATTAAGGATGACCTGAGTAAGGAGTCTTTAGATAATCTTCTATTAACTCTTGAGACGTATCCTAATAGAGATGTGCATCGTGCAATTCATGATTTATGGCCTCATTTTCATAAAGAACATGATCGACTTAGTCTTGGGAATCTGACTAAAAAAGACCCTGTTTGCCAGTTTTTAAGAAAACTAGATGGGAAGCCTATCCTCGACCCATAAAGGGCGTTTAAGCCGTTCTTGGATGTAAAACCAAGAGAAAGCTGTGAGCCACAATCACAACTGCTTGTACATACATATTATATATATATATAATAATAATAATAATAATAATAAATAAAAAAGAGAGAGAGAGAGAGTGAGACTTCAGCTAACCTATATATAGGTGGTATGCTTTGCATTGTCAATTTCTCATCTATAAAATCTTCTCTTCCTTCCCATCATTTCTACTCAACCCATTCATTCAGCATATATAGAAGTGTGTAGAAATGACAAGTTCCTCTGTTCCTAAAATAAAAACTATTTGTGTTTTTGGTGGATCTAATATTGGGAAAGAAAAAGAGTTTTTAGAATCAGCAAATCATCTTGGTCGGATACTAGTTGAGAGAAAGATTCATTTAGTGTATGGGGGAGGCAGCCTTGAGTTAATGAGAGGTGTTTCAATAGCTGTATTTGTAGGAGGCAATCAAGTTTTAAGGGTTGTCCCCAAAGCTTTAACCGAAGGGGATATCATTGGAAAAACAATTAGAGAGATATTACAGGTCTCCACAATGTCTGATAGAATGAATACAATGTTTAACCATGTTGATGCCTTCATTGCCTTACCAGGTGATCTGGGTACATTGGAAGAGATCTTTCATATTTTCTCTTGGGCCCAACTGCACATTCATCATAAACCTATAGGTTTGTTAAATGTTAATGGTTTTTATGATAATTTGTTGCCTTTTCTTGATCAAGCTGTGGAACAAGAATTTCTAATATCTTCGGCACGATAAATCATAATCTCTACTACTACTGTTGAACAATTGATTGACCAACTACAGTCTTTCATCCCTGTAATTGATCCCTCCATGAGTCAACTCAATTGGTCAAACATGAAACGTCGTAAAAAGCTTAAATTGGATTTGAGCCTTAATTTGTGAAAAATTGTATCTTTTGGTTTTATTAATAGCATAATATTTGTATTTTGCTGTTTTTTATATTTGTTTTAGTGTGTTTCAGGTTTGTTAATAGTCGGTGTTTCAGGTGATATCTTCTACACTCTATCTTTTTGCTTAGAACATTGAGGACAATATCTCATTTTGGTTGGGGGGAGAGGGTAGTAGTTGATATTAAAAAAATTGTTATTAAGTAACTATATTTTCTATTATTTAAACCATTTGCAAAACTATTGTTACTAGGATGACAGAGTAACAGAGGAACTTTAGTGACTCTTGAGACGCATCTTAATAAACATTCTTAACAAGATCTATTATAATACTTCTTCAAATATTCAGGTTTACAAACTCTTGAATTGTTATCTATAGATTCTGTTTATATGCTCATCTAACAAGTATTTCTAAACCTCATTTTCACACATACACTCGAACATATGATTGTGGGTTGCACATTGGATCATTACATTATTTGTGTTCTTTTGTCAAAGGTAACAACTAAGGGAAATGGATAGTATATAATATGAAAAAAAACAAAAAAAAAAAAAAACAAATATAATAATAATAAAAAAAACAAAGTAGATAAGTTTGGTTTCGTAGCCTCCTTGACTTAAGTAAATAAGCCCGAAGGGGTATTTGAACATCTAGTACCCTAAAGTCAACTAACTTGGGAGTTATTGACCTAGTGCTTGTAACATGAGTTGAGGAGAAAGCTTAAGAAAATCAAACACTGCACTATCTACATATTAGTATTTGCAACCCGAGTTACTAAGCTCGTATGGGTGTCTCAACACCTGATGTCCTAAGATCAACTGATTTGGGAGTCATTAGCCGAAAGCTCGTTACATGGGTTTAGGATACATTGTGCTATAAATTCTTGCTTTAAAAAAAAATAAAAATAAATAACAATCCCAACCCAAGGAAGTTAACCTTAAACATTAGAACAAAAATTTTGTTTTCTTCCATGAAAAGCTCCATAGTTATGTTTTGATCTATTGAGCACCAAAAAAAGGTTTACTAATATCTTGTTTAAGAGGTATTAAGCAGATATATAAATTTAATGAGAGTTTATTATTCTCTTCAAATATTTTTCTTTATTTGTAATTTATATAATTCGTCTCCCTGTGGTTCAACCATGGTTTTGCCGAGTTATTTTATTTTGACAATCCTGTACGTGGGATAAGATATCAACTCTTTGATCGTGTTAATAATTATAATAATAACATCCATAATTTCTTAAAACTCATTTATCGAACACAATTCCATTTCACATTCCGACAAACAATTTATGGCATCCATCAAATTTTGTAAGTGAAATTTGATAGCAGAACAATTTATAGCTCCGAACAGCTGAGTCATGGTTCCTGCCAAATTTGAAGCATCAAATGGTACCTCATTTTCCTCCTTACTTTTGTACTCTTTTCCATTTATTATTATTTTTTATTTTTTATAAAAAAAATTAACATCAATATTGACTCAAAAAACACATGTTGAAAATATTTTTTAAATTTTAAATTATTTAAAAAAACATGAAAAATTAATGCAAATATGTAAATAATTTTTTTTGTTATTTATTTATTTTTTAAAAAAACAAAGAGGTAAAAAATTCTGCAATAACAATCCAGATTTCAAAGTTTGGTTGGCTTGTTCAATTTGATGTTTTTTTAGTTAATGTTTTTTTTAAATATATATCTTTTTATATTGCACTTGTTTAGAATTAGCTTTTATTTTTTATTTTATTTTCTTCTAGTTTATCTATGTAATGTTACTTAGCTTGCATATTTGACACATTTATTTAGATTGGCTTAATTCTATTTATTTTATTTTATTTTTTTAATTTTATATTTGATTGGTTAAAATTAAATTCGTCATCTTTTAATTTCATTTTGATAATCATTATTTTTTCTTCCATTCCCATGATTTTTTTGTTTGTTTAAATTGATTAATTTATTATCATTATTTGGTCTTTTATTATCTAATTAAATTATACTAATTTTGTTTTCTTAATCAGGTTTATGACTTGAGTTTTTTATTTATTTATTTGAAACATGCTTGAGTTATTAGAGTATTTTTTTTAATTAAAAAAACCTAGTCCATGGCATAATATGAGTCTAAATATCTAAGAATATCTAAAATATATGGGAAAGCTAATGTAGCAATTAACAATAAAAAAAATATTTTTTTCTTTTCAAAACAAATCAATAACTAGCTATCAAGGGTAATATGATTATTTCATAAGGATTTATTGACTGTTATTATATTGTGTTATTATATTGATGGAGAATAAATAAATCTTTTGTATTTATGATGCACAATATAATAAGTACATTTTCCTAAAGTTTATGTCCAAGGGTAATTTTACATTTTTTATTTTCTCAAAATACTAAAATGATATAAATACTTTTAAAATAAAATTTTCTTTAACTTAAGCCCATCAATATTTTTATATATCATTTGTGTGTTTTTTTTGTTATTATCAAGTTGATGAAGAGGGGTGCTTTTGTAATTTTATATATAAAAATATTATAAAAAATAGCTAATGTATGTATTATAGATGTCAACATGGACATCACCACTAAACGGCTAAACACTAGCTTTAAAGGTGATGTTCAAATCATATTGAAATCCTCTTCATTAATGAAGGCCTATGTAGTCAATTAATTTTTGGTTTGGTGTTGATGATTTTTTTTTGTTTTTGTTTTTCTTGATTTTCATGCCAACCCCTTCAAATTCTCAAAATAACTCTTTAATTTGTTTTTTCTTTAGAGTTGGTTTTTATTTTTTTATTTTTTTTACTTTATATAGTTTATGAAAATGATTTTTTAATTTCATCTTCCATCAACTTTTCTTATAAGTCAATTTAGTCTTCATTCTTTTAGTTGTTATTCATTAATTATGTTTGAATTAATATTTATGATAGGATTTTTTTCATGATTTCATCAGTTATTGCTTTTTTTTTTCATATATATATATATATATATTAAAATTGATCTTCATTCTTCTTATTGTTGTTTTTTTTACTTAGCAAATTTTTTTAATTGATTTTTTTTTAAATTTTATCCTTCAACATTAAATTTCTTAAGAGTTTAGCTTCTTGATTAAGTTTAAGTTTAGGATTTCATAAGTTACAAGTTTGAGAGATTTACACGAGTTTGCTTATTTTTATCTCTTTATTTTATAAGTTTATGTTTTTTTTTTTAATTTTATCCTTTAATATTTATTTTATTTGAGATTAGACTATGTTATTTTTTTATAAAATAATTTATTAATTTTAAAAATGACTTATATGATCTCGAGTTTTTCTTTTGGATACTAAGAAAATAATTTGAGCGTATCTCACTGCATGTTGTGGATTATATAGCTAGTATGATCCAATCAATTAAGTTATGACCATAAGTCTTCAAACTTAAAAAAAAAATTCAAGAAATAGATATTCTTAAAAAAAACTATAATCGAAAATCAATTGTAAATAAATTTACTAGTAATGTAGGAAACATGATCCAAAAATTCCATGGTTGTTGAAAGTCTAAATAAATAAAAAAAATAAAATAAAACATTCTATTTTTTTCCCAGTAAATATTAATTTTGTTATTTTTATATTAAATTAACAATTATATTTATTTTTTTGTTTCAATTTGACTCCAAATCATTAATAATATACTAAAAGGCATGGGAAAACACTGTATCTTCCCCACGCCTTTTAATTATACTTATATATAATTATTATTATATTATTGTTTTCTTTATTTTCTTTTTATTTATGATTATGTTTTTTGTTTTTTTATGCCTTTATGGGTTTTTTTCTTTTTTCTTTATGTTTTTTTCTTTTAATGAGGTTTTTTTCTTTTTTCTTTATGTTTTTTCTTTTAATAGAATTTTTTCGTTTAATTTAGTTTATTAATGGTAAGTTTTTTTATTTAGTTATCAGATTTTTATGATACAGATCTCGAGTTTGACGGGTTAACCTGGTTTGACGAGTCCTGAAATTGTATTTTTTTTTCTTTTTTTCTTTTTAAATAATTTTTTTCATTTAGTTTAGTTTGTTAATGTTAAATTTATTTCTGTTTAATTATCAGATTTTCATGACACATATCTTGAGTTTGATAGGTTAACCCATCAATTTGTTTTTCTATTTAGTTATCAAACTTTCATGACACAAATATAAGATTTGACGGATTAATCTGATTTGAAGAGATAACTCAGTTAGTTCAGATTTTTTTTCTTTTTCTTCAATAGTTTTTTTTATCCTCGTTGATTTTTTTCTTTGTTTTTTAATTAATTTATTTAATTATCATATTTTTATAACATGATCTTGCAGCTAGACCCACATCCAAGACTTTTGGGTCCGGTATTATAACCAGACTCACTTAAACTTGAGTCATATAAGTTTAATATTATTATAAATATTACTCTTGGGTCAAGTGTTGCAACAAGACCAAAGGCTCAAAAATTTAACACTCTTAGATCTTAGCTTTTTTTGATATTTTTTATGTTAGAAAAAAATAACCCGTAGCGTATGTCTTTATTTTATTTTGTTTTTCTTTATTTTTTAAGCCTTTTACTGTGAATTGCACAATGCAATCCACAATGAAAAAGTTGATGTCTTTATTTTTTTTAATCTTTTTTCTTCTTTTTCTCTTCTTTTATAATTATTCTTTTAATTTAATTTATTAATATTAAATTTTTTATGTTTAATTATTAGACTTTCATAACACGGATTCCAGGTTTGACGGGTTAACCCAGTTGATTAAGATTGCTTTTCTTTTTTCTCATTAGTTTTATTCTTTCAATTTTATCTTTTAATATTGTATACAGTTCACGGTAAAAAGGTTGATGCCTTTAATTTTCTTTTTCTTTTTAGGTCTTTCACTATGAACTGCATAATGCAGTCCACGGTTAAAAGGTTGATGTCTTTTTTATTTTTAATTAACTTTTATTTATTTATTTTATTGATATTAATTTTTTTTTCTATTTAGTTATTAGACTTCATGATACAAATTTCAGGTTTGACAGGTTAACTCAATTGATTCAATTTTTTTTTTCTTGTTCTTCATTAGTTTTTTTTCTTAATGTTGGTTTTTTTTCTTTCTTTTTTTAATTAATTTATTTAAGTATCACACTTTTATGACACAACTTTGCAGCCAAACTCATATCCAAAACTACTGGATTTAGTATCACAGCCAGACTCACTTAATCTTGGGTCTTTCAAGTTTAATGTTATTATAAATATTACTTTTGGATTAGGCGTTGCAGTCAAACCTAAAACTCTTGAATATAGCTTTGCAAAAATATCTAAAACTCAAACCTAAGACTCTTGAATATAGCTTTGTAAAAATATCTAAAAATTTTAGATTCTAATTTTTTTAAATATTTTTTATATAAAACAATTGACCTGCGGCATCGCACGGGTCATATAACTAGTTATTTACTAAATTAAAAGATCTATAAAATATGTAACTAGTTATTTACTAAATTAAAAGATCTGTAAAATATGTTTTTTTTTTTTTTGCAATAGATTTGGACTCAATGTTTTAACTTCTGATGAAGTCAGATATATCGAAACTTGTAATCCAACTCAAGACCATTATTGTCTTTGGATTTTACTTTAAGGCAAGGAGCATTACAAATTGCAAAAATCTTATCAAAACATTATCAAGTTAAAAGAAAATTAGATGATGTTATCAACTTTCATAATGGGTTTATATAGATCCGTATATATGCATATTTTTTAATAAAAAAATAAGAATTATGTATTACAATGGTATTTAAAAAAAATTAAAATTGTAAAATCTTATTATAAATGGGGGTTTGATTTTAAGATATTAATCATTATTATAAAATTTGACTTGATTTTTTAAATTGATTCAAGAAATTCTAGAATTATAACTTTTTTTTGTTGGATTATCAATTAAACTAATTAAAATTTTAACTCGATAAAACCAGTTCAACTTGATCAAGTTTTTAGTAATATAGATAACCCAATAAAATCTAAATAGGGCAATGGCAAAGCCAAAAATAAAATAAATTAATAACAATACTATCCATTATTAAAAGAACAATTATGAATTGTGGTTATTTTCATTTGGATATTTGAAACTTGAAATTTAGTTTGTATTTTAAATATTTGAATTATGTTTTTTAATTTAAACTTTTGAATTATTATTTATTTATTGGATTAATTAAAAAATATGTTGTGGGTATGCATTTTAAATGAAAATTCTAATTGATTTTTTTTAAAAGGACAATGAATATATGAGTACTGATTAATGCACAGTGGGACACAAACAACTAACAACAAACAACTAACCAGCTATCAAGAGAAAGACTTTCTAATCCACAAATGAATTGCAAGTGTAGAAACTAACAAATTTTCCAGTTATCAATATCTCATCTGTCCGAGGGGCCATTATTTATTTGCAGCTCCCAGTGAAGAAGAAGATAGCAGCCTTCAATAGCAGAGAGAATAGGGACACCAAGAGCTTATCTCTCATTTTAGCAGCACTATTGTGAGGCTCTATTAGGCAAGATAACATGGCCAAGAGTGAACTTTGACGCAGGAGTTACCATTAAGCATGAAGAACAAGTCAGAGCATGAAGATGATCATAAGCATGAACTTGAAATCCTTAAGGGGGTGGCACAATCGTGGCATGCTCACTCAGTCAGTTCAACGTCTACCAGTGAATATGATAAATATCGCCAAAATTTTCAAAGCAAGCCTTCTCGGTTTAAGCTAGAAGCAATGAACAAGTCATCAGCCAAGAGGGTTGAGAGAGCAAATTGGGATTTCAAGCAATCACTGTGGGATTCCTATGAGATTGTGAATGTGTACAAAAGGTTGGAGAGAGGGCTTGTTTTAGATGATTCATTTAGTGGGGTACATGCTCAGAGAAGGGTCCATAGGAAGAAAATAGAGAGTAAGAAGAGTCTTAGATATTTGTTTAATCTAATATCTTCGAGGAGATTCAAAAAGGCTGGTGATCCTCGTGAAGATAACAATCAATATTGATTTAAAATCTTTGTTATTCCTAGAGCTTGCTCTTAATTTCTTGCTTATGTTAATTAGTTCTATCTTCAGGTTTTCCATCGAGGATGTTAGTAGGTGCAGTCTTCATTAAAAAAAACCTGACATGAACAATTTGTTTTGCAGGTAGTTTTCCCACTTGCCTTGTAGGAAAACCAAGCAAATTCTTATCTTGTGCATTCAGTGAGAAGTATTTTCATAGAAATCTCATGCTACAAGTACCTGCGTTGTCATGAAAACACCACACAGGCAGACAAAGTAGGTGTTCTCCGTGTCAGAGCTATCTATGACAGCAATTAATTTGTATAATAGAATTACTAGTATGTTTTTTTTTAAGAACAAAAAATCTCCTGAAGGATTTTAGTAGCAGAAAATGGTAAAGTTGCGCGATAGCAGTCGATTTGATCCTTGATTTGTCAACATCCCATGAGGAATTTTGTAACCATGTCCAGGATTCTGTCAAATTGAACAGTATATTCGTGCCTGATATTGAAAATGGTATGCTATTCTTAACTCAATTATTGCGGTCTGGTCCTGGTAGATTCCCTGCAAAGAATCTCAGCTGTTCACCACACGTCACTAGAAGTTGCTTGCAGCTGTCCAGCAACCAGATTAATTGTGCCGAAGAAACAGAGTAAGCCATCGTCCATCTGTTCGTTAATATTAATATTCCCACATATGACACTTGTCTTAAAACCATCATTTGGAATAATTAAGAAGCCTTAATTGTTAGTAGTTTATTGTTAAGTGGAAAGGATAATGTCATGTGTGCTATTCTTTAAGTAGAGGCATCCCTCATGTAATTCTAATAGCCCAGTTATGACAGGTGGACAGTAGAGTATTTTATTTATGTTTAATACCACAAGTACAAAGGTTCAGTAGATTAATCCCCCATATGCTTCATGGGCCATTGGATTTTTGAACTGATACATGGATCTTTCATCTTGTTTTGCGTCAGTGGCATGGTGATTAGGGGTAAATCCCGGAGCCGTCACCATTGATTTATGAACGTATTCCCGCAAAGAGTTTCTTCGAAGTTCAGATATCTGGCGGAACATACCAGGACTAATACCTCTATATATCAGCTCAAACGATGACATTATCAATTAGTATCTGCCATATTCAATGCCAGTTTTAAAGACCAATATCACTCACCATCTGTTTCCAGCATAACCTCCAAAGTTAATGATTATTTATGAAATCTGCCAACCGAACATGATGACATAACAGCAGTCAGGCAGTCACAGCAACAAGCGACGAATTAGCTTCATGGAATGACAGCTTATTTGAAATGTTTGAAAAGTAATTGGAAAGGGTGACAATGGAAAGTCATTCATTGTGATGGAAAATCAGTTTGCAGCAGCAGCAGCAGTTTCCTTCAGTTCCTTGTTAAATAAGCTACCAAGCATTTCTACATGTATTGCATAATTATTTCCTTTTCACTGATACATTTCAGATTTGTTTTTCCACATATCTTTAAACTATCTGCATCAGCATAAGCCTAGATCCAGCAAAAGAAAGAAAGGAAGAGAACATATAAAAAATTAACCAAAGCGTTAAAGATGTTATATTATCTAACACATAGTTGATTCTGGCAACTTATATCATGTATGCAGTCAGCAAATCTCAAGCATCAACAATAGATTGTCCAAATCTAGACTGTGCGATTCAGAATCTGATGCAATCATTTGCAATTCGCTCCGGAGTTTAGCTCCTGTAACACTCATCAAATCGACAATTCATTTTGTTGCATGCTCAATCGCTCTACTAAAATTGCAGTACTGTATGAAACCATGGATCGACAAATAAGCAGCAAGGCAAAATCTTTAGTGACAGAATACCAACGATGAAAAGCTATAGTATATCACACTATATTGTCTTATTAAAAGATAAAATACTAAAATTTTCTTGACATGCTTTATCCCAACAACCCTGAAACTGGTTCTGCCAAAAAAAGAAAGACGGGCATTTTATTTAATTGTCTGTGTTGGTTCACACTGCAGCTGGAATAGAGTTTCCCAGTAATCTAAGCACAACCTACATGCTCCCTAGCCTATGGAAATTTGAAGGTCTTCCATTTGCACAGTTCAAAGCCCTTTTGCTTCTGCTGGATGAAGCCACCAGCTTCACCCTTAACCTCTTCTTCTTGAGATACCTTGTTGTTGAAGGCCTTGTGAACACTGGGGTACTGGGGGGCACCATGGATAACGCTAGGCGTCTTTGATAACCTCGAAATATAGTCATGGTAATCACCGGACGTGGTGTTTGAGCCTTGCCGCTGCCTAGTTTGGAAGGCAGAGTCTTGAGACATTTTTTGTTGATTTGCTCAGTTAACAACAATTAGTTCAGAGAATCCGCAAATTTAGAGACCCATATCTTGCGAATTTATCCTCTAAAGATGGTAAAGTTGCATCTAATTCCTTATCTCTTGTCAGATATCAAGTCATCCACATTCTTTAAAAGAGAATAAATGCCTTGAAAGTGGAGAGCCTGAATGGATTCACATCACCTATACATTATTATTCCAAGTTTCTGGCCCTTCCTGAAGAGGATTATAATCCACAACTTTTGAAGTCATGATAGATATTTGGAGATTAGATGCCCTATTACGCTACGTTAAAACAAACCCTAGATGCGCTGTAGGCTCAGCCACCAAACACAATATCTAACTAACTTTATGCATTTTAGAAAATAAGGTGTTGTTTTGAATTTAGTAGTAAAAATAAATTGATTAATGTAATTAAATGATGATATTGCATATTTGGTTTAATACTAAGTCTAATTATTAAACTCTACATTATTCAATTGCAATGTATGGAAGCATTTGAATGTAAATGGTATTTGCATAAAGAATATAATAAAAAATCAAATTTATTTAAGATAATAAAATTAAAAAGGTTATATATGTGTTTCAACCTTTGTTAAAAAGACCATCATTAACCTAATACAAATTTTGTTGCTAATGTTATATCAATCCTAGTAATAAATAAGCTTTCAATAATGCATACATGATAAAATAAAATTGCATGGCAAGTATAATATGTCATATGAAAAAACATGAGTTCCTAAAAAATAGGTGATTGAGAATTTTATTGGTTTATATCAGGAGTCTTTTGGAAAATTACCTAAGTTGTTATTGGTAATAAAAAAAAAATCAAACCCTGTAATAGTTAATTGGAACCAAGATAAAAAAAAGTTTTATTTTATCATGAAAATCACCAGCATAGTAATATGATAGTTAATCTTTCAAATCATTTAATCAAGTTCTGAAGGATACTCGTACAATACTTGTTTCAACTTTAATGCAATTAACATTTTACCAGTGTAATAGTTATTAGGTCAAGCGGAGAAATAAAGCTAATGATTTTATTCAACATGGTAAAATTTGCTCCCTGACAATTAAGATTGAATTGACAATCAATAGAGATAGATTAAAAGATTATTATGCGATATTGTTTGACGCCAAGTAATAGGTTTTCCAAGACAACATCCATATTAAACCAGGTGTTATTAAAGAAGTCAAATAAGTAGTCAATTTGAATAGTAGAACATGCATATATGATAAATGACAAATATTTCAACATTTATACTCACATGTTCATAAATGTTGTGTCAAGAGTCACATAGATTTTATATAGTCTGTTGATGATCATTACACGATTCAAAGTTACTAATCAACATATGACATGGTATTTCATTTACTATTAGACAAGTTAAAATGGACTAATTATACTAGATCTTGTGTTGAAGCAAACTCATCTAAATGAAAAATTGGGTTTAATAAATGTCTACTCGTTCGCACAACAAGATGGATGCAAGAGAAGGTCATGCATATTATAGTTGTGGCATATGCAATGAAACAAGCTATAATACGAAAATAATTACAGTACATGTCTACTACACCTGCTAGCATTTATATCTTGCGATTGCAGGATTGATATCAATCGAACGATGTATTCATTGATATAGTAAGAATTTTTAATTTAAATATGTTTTTAATTTATTCTTAATATACTTATCATTAAAGGCATTATATGACTAAATGCTTATAGTTTACATTTTTATGATTAGTTGTATGTATTCTAGACATGTTTATTATACGTTATTTGTCTAAACCAGCGTGACCATGGCTTGATCCTCGCACTAGTTGAGTGATGAAGACATGAGACACAAATATTATATCTTAGGCATGAAGAGATGACACCAATATTATAGGATATGATGATGTTGCTTTGGCTGTTTATTGATAGACGTGCAATCCCATCTTTTTATGTTTATAATAAAATTATATTATGCGATGATTATTTGGATTGCCACCTTTTTATTTTGAATTGAATAGGGGTAGTATATGTCTCAAGTAGATTGATGAGACATTAATGATACTACCAGATAATGCTAATGGAAAAGTTTTGTATATATATAAAATAAATTATAATTTCAATGTGTTGATTAATTGTTAAATTTATCATAAAAAGATAATGGACATTACCGGAAGTAATGGCTTTGCTTATGGACAAACAATTACATCTCCTGATGACATGTTTATAATAGGATTGTGATTATTTGACTTGACTCCCTTTTTTTTCTTGGATTGTCACATCGATTAATTGTGCTGAAGAAACAGGGCAAGCCATCATCCAATTGTTCATTAATATTAATATTCCCAAATGCAACACTTGTCTTAAAACCATCATTTGGAATAATTAAGAAGCCTCAATTGTTAGTAGTTTATCCTTAAGTGGAAAGGATAATTTCATGTGTGCTATCCTTTAAGTAGAGGCATCCCTCATGTAATTATAATAGCCCAGTTATAACAGGTGGACACTAGAGTATTTTATTTATGTTTAATACCAAAAGTACAAAGGTTCAGTAGATTAATCCCCTTATATGCTTCATGGACCATTGGATTTTTGAACTGATACATGGATCTTTCATCTTGATTTGTGTCAGTGGCATAGTGATTAGGGGTAAATCCCGGAGCCGTCACCATTGATTTATGAACGTATTCCCGCAAAGAGTTTCTTCGAAGTTCAGATATCTGGCGGAACATGCCAGGACTAATACCTCTATATATCAGCTCAAACGATGACATTATCAATTAGTATCTGCCATATTCAATGCCAGTTTTAAAGACCAATATCACTCACCATCTGTTTCCAGCATAACCTCCAAAGTTAATGATTATTTATGAAATCTGCCAACCGAACATGATGACATAACAGCAGTCAGGCAGTCACAGCAACAAGCGACGAATTAGCTTCATGGAATGACAGCTTATTTGAAATGTTTGAAAAGTAATTGGAAAGGGTGACAATGGAAAGTCATTCATTGTGATGGAAAATCAGTTTGCAGCAGCAGCAGCAGTTTCCTTCAGTTCCTTGTTAAATAAGCTACCAAGCATTTCTACATGTATTGCATAATTATTTCCTTTTCACTGATACATTTCAGATTTGTTTTTCCACATATCTTTAAACTATCTGCATCAGCATAAGCCTAGATCCAGCAAAAGAAAGAAAGGAAGAGAACATATAAAAAATTAACCAAAGCGTTAAAGATGTTATATTATCTAACACATAGTTGATTCTGGCAACTTATATCATGTATGCAGTCAGCAAATCTCAAGCATCAACAATAGATTGTCCAATCTAGACTGTGCGATTCAGAATTTGATGCAATCATTTGCAATTCGCTCCGGAGTTTAGCTCCTGTAACACTCATCAAATCGACAATTCATTTTGTTGCATGCTCAATCGCTCTACTAAAATTGCAGTACTGCATGAAACCATGGATCGACAAATAAGCAGCAAGGCAAAATCTTTAGTGACAGAATACCAACGATGAAAAGCTATAGTATATCACACTATATTGTCTTATTAAAAGA